AAGTCCAGTCCAGTCCCAAGATAGGACTGCCAGTCCCAGGACTGTCCTGAACTGTTTAGGACTGATTAACATCTCTACTATTTAATTATTTTTTTATGTTTATTATAATATACCACTACTATAATTATATATTGTTAATAAAGGAGTGTATTTATGTGATTATTCTAATAATCAAAAAAAAACATATTATTGCTGATGTAAAGAATTATTTTCAAAACAAATTGGACATTCTTATAACAAATACTTTGTAGTAATAAAAATGTTATTTATTCTTTTTAAAAATAATCTTATTTATTTATAATGAAGAAAAATACAGATAATCTCATCTATCTGAATGTTCCTAAGCATAATTAGTAAAAATATAAATCAACAATAATGTTTAGAATTGTATCAATTATTTAACAAATGTGGCTGATTATGGCTTAATATTGGATATTCTTGTCAGTTAATTGCAATAATATTCGGTGTTTACCAATTAATTAATTAGTAATTTTTTTTTAAAATTTTTTCCATGTACTAGCATTAATTTAGTATGATTTTCATTTCACCAGTTTCACCAGTTGCAATGGTTGCGCCAAAACCGATTGGTGAGTGGTGCAATGTTGAAACCGGTGTAACTATCTGAATAGGTTCCACCTAGTGATGGGCATAAAAATTATTTTGATAAATGACCAAGTTATTAAGTACTTAATAACTCTATTAGTGACTTATTAACTGTTAAAAAACACAAACTTGCAGATCTTTATGGGCAACAAAAATTATTAATATATATATAAAAAACCAATAATTATCAAAAATTTTAAAATTAATTAAAATACATCATAATTAATAAATTTTATAAAAATTAACACATTGGTCCTAAAATTATTTGAATGCCATCTTTTAATGATTTTTCAACTAATTCAAAATTAAAAATGTCTGTTAATTTAGGAACCTCATCTTCTCCATTATCTATAGTATATACATCATCAATTAAAAATGTAGATTCATTTTGAAATTCATTATATAATTCATTTACAATATGATCTTCATCTGTGCTTTCCTGTATATCATTATTACAATCATCCATTACTATTGGCTCATCAAAATTTTTTTTGGAATCTTGTTTTTGTTTGTTTTTATTATTAGTTTGATTTATACACCATCCTATTTTTGCCAACTTTGCAACACATTCTGGCTTCAGTCTGTTACGTCGTTCTGTATGAATATTACCAAAAAGAGACCAGATTCTTTCAGATGTAGCAGAGTTTGGTGGAATTGCAAACAGCCTAGAAGCAAAAGTTGATAAGTTTGGACACAAAGCTAAAACACTTTTCCAGAATCTAGTTGGGTCTTTTGTTATTGATGGTTGCCATAATGAATTAGATTTGAAATAACTATCTTTATACAAATAGTTATGCCATTCATCAATGAATTGATTGCCATCCAGATCAGAATATAAAGAACAAAATAAATTGTAGGCAAACTCTTGAATTCTTAATGTATGTACTGGATTAATCCCATTGCCATGATGAAAGGGATGTAAATACCATGTGACTAAAAAAATAGGATCATAAATTTTTTTCCATCTTTTTTCAATTTCTTGTCCCAAATTAATTTTGATTGAATCAAGATTAGATGGAATTTTCTCAATTACGCCTCTCAGCCATGCCCAAGATGCAATAACATGACCCAAGTTAGCATGTTCAGATTCCAATATCTTTATAATAAATTCATATGGTTTCAGCACATTGATAAAGATGTCTAATGCTTCCCAAAAAGTTTGGTCTTCAATTGTATTAACAACCTTTCTATCATTATTTTTGGTAATTAGAACATCTGGATATGCTATTGCCATAATCTAAAATTAAATAATATTTATTAATTTGTTAAAGGTTGCAACATTTTCAAGAAATAAAATATCAACTTACAATTGGTTTTTATATTTAAGAATTTGTTCTGCTACTTTTATAAAAGATCCCCATCTAGTGATACATGGATATTGAAACCTAAGATTATAATTTTCTGCCAATTCTCTTGGTTTTGAGATTGCAAGGTTTGAGCTATGAAAGTGTACTATTATAATAAAAAATTTCTTTATGAAAACTCCAAAATAAGAATTTTTTTTCACAATGGATTGTACAAGCAAATTTGTTTGATGTGCCATGCAGGGTATTGTTATAACTTTTGATTTTATGTCTGAATCCTAGATTATTAAAAAAATAAAAATAAATAAAAACAAGTAAACAAGTAAACTAATAAATTTGTTCTTCAAAAAAAAAATTTTACTTTTCTAATAAGCCTTCATGACTTCACAAATTCAGGTCCACTATCACTTACAAAAGCTATCCATTTATCCAAACCTATATACATACCTATTTCTTTGTATTTATTGAAAATATTTATTCCTGTATGATGTTGACTAGAAAAATCTTCTGTTTTCCACAAGTGACTAATTCTTTTTTCATTTGTTAAAACAAAACTAATTATACTATGCTGAGATACATCTGTCCAGCCATCTCCTGATAATGTTAAAAATTTTGATTCAGCAACAAAATTTTCAATTTGAGATTCTATGTTAGTATTCACATTCTATAAAATTTCTGTACTTAGAGTTTTCCTTGATGGTAATTTGTAAGATGGCCTTATGGTGTTAAAAAGCTTGATTACTTCAGGATTTTCTACAAAAGAAAAAGGTACATTTGCATATAATAATTGCTTATTAGCAGTATTTCTTTCATCTATTGAAATCTTTCTATCAACAAAACTTTTAATACTAGATTGTGCAGAAAAAACAGACATAACATCAGAATTGTAACCTAAATAATGAAAAGAATATTACTGTAAATTATTAATTAAAATAATAAATATTAAATTATCAAAAATTTTCTACCATCATTTAATTTGGTCATCTCTTGTGAGTCATTATCATCATTTTTGGTTCTTTTTTTAGGAAGCTCAAATAAATCAGAAAACTCTGTACAAAGGTCTTCATCAACTTCAGGACATTCCTGCAGATGTTTTGTCATAATTTTATTAACACCACAAACACTTGAATTGCAATAAATACAATTTGCTTGGTAATGTGAACTATTTAGTTTTTGTCCTTTGGTGAAATAGTTCCAAATTTCACCTTTTCTTCTCCCCTGCTTATTATTATTTAACATATTTTACTTTTGTAAAGATTGTATTAATAACATGTGGTTAATAACATGTGATTAATAATGTGTGGTTAATAATGTGTGGTTATTAATTGGTTAATTAATAATTGGTTAACCAAATAAGTTAACTAGTTATTAACTGATTATTAAATAGTTATTAATTAGTTATTAACTGATTATTAACTGATTATTTAACAATTATTAACTAGTTATTAACTGATTATTAACTGATTATTAATTGATTATTAACTAGCTATTAACCAATTATTAATTGATTATTAACTAGTTATTAACTGATTATTAATTGATTATTAACTAGTTATTAACCAATTATTAACTAATTTGATTGATCAGCAGAATTGATTATTTATTAACTTTTGGATTAATAACTCTTGCTCAGAGCACAATAATTAATAAGGGGCTATTAACTAATTAATAACTTGGAGTTATTAAGTGTAGGGTTAGAAATTCCCATCACTAAATGCAAGTTGATGAATTTTTGAATATTCCTGAAGAAAATATTGTCTGTGAGGTTCCAGATGATGATAAAATAATCAAAGAACTTGCAGAAATATATAAAAATAAAATGAATGTACCTGCTGACAATTTTGAGAAGATGACATTAAGCCTTGAGGAAGCATTAAAGGTCTTGAAACTGTACATTCATTTTTATTACAGCAAGAAAAATAATACTACAAACAAATAAAATTGGTTAATAAAATTGAAAGATATATCAATATAAAAAAAGTAAATTCATCAAAACAAACTACAATGGATAGTTATTTTAGTATTACTGTATTTAAAATATTGTGTATCATTTGTGACCAATGAAATTGCTTCTCTCCATAAATGCACACCCTCCATAAATGCACACTGTCCCTTGGTCCCAAGGGGGGTGCATTTATGGAGGTCTGACTGTAATCACTATGTCTGTGAGATTTAAATAATTTAATGTGTACAACAACCTAACCATAACATACGTGTAACCAAATTTATAAGGGTTGTCTGATTTCCTAGTCCAAATCCCATATTCGTTTTTGTCACATTTTACAACCAATAAAACCAAACCCTTGAATTTTACATCTAATATTATTAATCATAAACCCTCCAATTATGTCCGAGGTATTAGAAGACAAATTAAAAAAACTTATTGAGGAAGAGAGAGCTTCTATTAATTGGACTGAAGTAAATAAGTGGATTGCGGAGGGAGAACCATACGAAGAACACGAAGAAATTTTAATGTTTATGAATCAAAATGGAGTTGCTGACTCAAGATCAGATGGTAAGTCTACTTGATTCATGTTCTATTTCATGTATATGTTTGTTCAATAAAGCCGAATTTATTGATTTTTTAAGGAGACGGACGAAATGATGCTACCAGAGGAGGAGAACATCCTCATGGAGAAACTTTTTACAGAGATTCCGGGAAGGCTAATCAAAAGGCCGGGACAAAGAGCCATTCTAGAACTTCCACCAAAGGAGCCACAACCACTGGAAGTAAGAAACGTCAACATTGTAATAAAGTTGCTGGATCCAACCATGTTTCCAATTCAATCAAGAAACACGGAACAAATGTTGAATAATCTGAGTAATTCAGGTCTGTTGAATAATGTTATTGGATTAAATATGTAACTGGTGATTGATAAAAAAAAGAAAATCTATTCTATGAAAATATACATTTCATCTTTTTTTAATCTTGGTGCATGTAGTCTAATTATCATTGTTTCTTTGTGAATAAAAATTCCATTTCATGTGGCTCCTTTTGGAGTTTGGCTCAAGATTCGCAAAGATGTTATCACGTGAATCAGAGGCAGAATATTGTGGCATCGTATAAATCATACATATCCAATGTTGGAACCATACTCTGTGGCGATGACAACGATAACATCCCATAGAGATGATTATACTTGCTGCAATTATCGTTGCACATGTCATAGTTCATAAAACAATTTTGTGCTGCATGTATAGTATTGAGCTACCACATCCCATAGCATTTGAATCAGCGTAATAAAAGTTATGTTGGTTGCTTGGATTTTGAACATGAAGCACATGATTTGCCATCCAATGTGAATGAAATATAATGCTAATTTATCTGATCCATCCTATATATGAAATGATTTTTGGCTAGTGTTAAAGCTAGCACATCACGTGGCGATGATAATGTGTTGGAGCTACCACGTCCCGTGATATATCGCAGGAAAAAATGTTAGATATTAATATGTTATAAGATGAGGAAGAAGAATGTGGTTGTGATCATGCCCACCCATTGATTCAGATATACAGTGTGTAGCAAAGATTTTTTGCATTATCTTGAATCTTTTTTCAACTGAGTCTGATAATTGGTTTTTGAGTAATTTCCTTTTAAACCACATAATAGAGTTGATTTTTTTGCGAGAATAATGGGAATACATTCACCCACAAATTATGTCAATTTACTAGTATTCCATTCTCAAATATCTATTAAGTCAGAACTCGATAAGACGATGCTTTTGATGAGACGAATATATACGATAAACCGATGTTTTTTATTTAAACTTCTTGATTTTGTTTTTTTTTTTGTGAAAACATTGACCTCGGTTTAACGAGTTCCAACTGTAATAAGTTAAAGGGAACAAATGATATGGCAGGCTTATAGGGGAACTAATTGCTATAATCAAATGATATTACACTAATTTTCTCTTATTTCTTTAAAAACTTTGGCAACCAAATTATCAGAAGTTAAAAATTTCAGATCAAAATATCAGCTTTTAACTTATCAAATGAACTATTTTTCATGCAATGGTTGCTTCACAGTTTCAATTAAAAAGTTTTGCAAGTCAATATGTATATTTCTTTTTCCATTAGACCATATATTGAAATCTGGTTTACGTTGGATAGGACAAAACCATTTTTTTTCAGTTTATTTTACACATTTTCCCCCGGAGTCAAATTTAAAGAGAGATCATTTTCTTTTATTTAATACTTCAAAAAATCCTAAAGTTGGATTAAGTATAGATGCTATAATTAAAAAATGAGAAACATGTGTATTAATATGATCGATCACATTATATTAGTAGTACAATTGTGACGTTAAAACTGAAATTTTTTTTGCGACATATTGTTCACTTTGTCTGTTTTGTTGCAAATTATTATCTATAATTTTTTTTAAAAGAAAAAAAAGTTTTCCAAGTTGAAAAAAAATTGTTCACTTTTTTTCAATTGCTAAAATATATTATATAAATTCTATCTTTTAAATATCTACAAAAGTAAAAACTCGCAATCTAAAAAAAAACAAATCTTTCATATCCTGCAACCAGGTTATCTCGTTTCTTTCTTTTTTCTCACAAAAGATTAAAAGTAAATAATATGTACAATCTAATCAAATCCAATTTGTACCATTGAAATAAAAAAAAAATTTTTTTTCCTCAATTCTCTCAAAAACTACAAATAATAAATTAAATAAATGTGAATGTGAATGTGAATGTATCTATATATGTGTACATGTATGTGTATGTATATAGTTTATATTTTTAAATAAATTAGAAAATCACAAAATATCTTTCATTTTTTTTTTTCTTTCTAAATAGTAGCTTTAACAAATACAGATTGAGATGCAACAGTAGGCAATGCCATTGTAGAAACAGATTTACCATCAATGACGCTCATTCCATTTAAAGTGGACATTCCTAAACTCATAACAGTACCTTTACTAGTCGTATTATTATTATTATTATTATTGGTGGTGGTGGTACCATTTATAGGTGCACCGTTTGTTGTTCTAATAGTCACACCACTATTATCCCATAATCCTGTTGTAGATGAGACCCCCATCGAAGTGATATTTGTTGACAACGATGACACCACTGAATTACTATCACTATTATTACTACTGTTGCTGCTACCACTGCTACTACTACCAATACCATTGTTGTTTGTAGTATTAGTGTTAGTTTTAGTGTTAGTATTAGTATTAGTATTAGTATTAGTGGTGGTGGTGGTAGCAGTGCCATTTGTTGTAATGTTATTATCGTTATTGTTATTGTTAACATCTTTTGGCGATGATGCCGATGGTGATGCACCTAAAATCACATTTTTTTTGGCTGAATCAGAGTCCACCACTACACCAGCGGATGATGATGATGATGGTGACGATGATGATGATGATGGCGATGATGACGATGTTTGTGGATGAACAACAACGTTGCCCAACCCGTTAGTTATTGCATTACCGCCGCCACTACTTGATAAACCATTAATACCATGATGGATATTATGACCAATGCCTAGCCCTCCTATAATACCACTACCAATAGCACCAGGATGATGATGTTGTTGTTGATGTTGATGTTGATGTTGGTGATGGGCTGCAACTGTGTGTGGAGGTGGGGCAGCTTGATGATGGTGTGGATGTGGATGATATGCAGTTGAGATAACAGGCGGGCGATGATGGTGATGATGATGTGCATGAGGGTGCGGATGTGGATGATGGTGTGCAGGATGAAAAAATGAAGGTTGTGGTGCAGGATTAAAGTGCATATTACTAAACGATGCAGTCAAACTATGTATGAAATTATTGTTATTGTTATTATTATCATTACTATTGTTTCCAGTGCCACTAAAGTTATTATTGCTATCATTTCCATTGATCATGTTTGTTCCTACTATTATTCCATTTGTTAAATTTGTAGCAGCAGTAGCAGCAGCAGTAGTTGGAAATGATCCTACTATAGTATTATTCAAATTAACAGCAATTGATGTTGACAATGAAGTCGGTGATGATGTTGTGGTGTTGTGAGTTTGCGGTGAAAGATGATGATGGTGATAGTGGTGATGATGATGTGATTTACCGATTGGACCGAATCCCGGGAATTGTGAAGTAGATGTTGTAATTGGTTGATCTTGTGAAATGGCTTGTGAAGATGTTTGTTGTTGTTGCGGTTGTGGTTGTGATTGTTGTTGTTGTTGTTGCGGTTGTTGTTGTTGTTGTTGTTGTTGTTGTTGCTGTTGTTGTTGTTGTTGTTGTTGTTGTTGTTGTTGTTGTTGTTGTTGTTGTTGTTGTTGTTGTTGTTGTTGTTGTTGTGGATTGTTATTGCTACCACTGCTACCTAACCCGTGTATAGAGTTTGCAGATGTGACCATCGGAATTTGTTGGAAAGGGGATGTGCCATTTGTAGCATTATTTATATTGTTACTCATATGTGCAGCTAATGGATTATAAGAAGTCTGATGAAATGGCTGGCTTGCTAAAGTTGGAGTAGCTAACGGAGGTGAGAATGGGCCTAGATGAGCAGTAGCCATAAAATGCGGATGATGAATTGGTGGCGGTGGAGGAGCAATATGGAAGTTTGGATGGTGAGACATACTTTGCAGTAAATGTGGTGGTGGACGATGATGTGGATGCATATGAGGAGCAAGATGAGTTGGGTGGGGAGGTGGTGGTGGGGGTGGTGGTTGTTGATTATGGTGTTGTATAGGTTGTAAGGAGAATTTGTCAAAGTGAACACGTAAAGCTCTTCCTTGGAATTCATAATTATTATACATTCCTATTAAGGAAAAATTTTATCCAAAAATATGATTAATATGTAACAAATAAATAAATTTTTTTTTTTTAAGGAAGGAAATAAGTAGTATACTTACTAACAGCATTTCTAGCATCTTCAGAAGTAGCAAATAGTACTGTACCAAAACCTCTACTTCGGCCATCATAATTTGTTGAAACATCGGCTCTAATAATATTTCCCGCATTTCTAAACAAATCTTTTAAATCTTGCCATTGACAATTGAACGGTAGCTTTAAATAATACATTGATGATAATAATAATATTATTATATATATATATATATTAAAATTTTTTATATGAGTTATTGCATGCAGAGCATGCAATAATGGAAAAAATCAGAATGGTTGCCGAGTTTAAAATAGTGGCATGTAAGTAATTATATTTTAACAACCATTCTCGATTTTTTAGTCATTTTTGACGCAATTATTGCATGCTTCTGCATTCAATAACTCGCTTATTGTATATCCGACTATGAAAACATTTCAAAATTTAAATTTCCAGATAAATGTCTAAACATGAAATATGTCTCATTTCATAGGCAGACACATAATAAAAATAGTTAATTAATTCAACTTACATTACCAACAAATAATAATCTACCAGCAAAATTAGATTGTGGTGTATGAATTCCCCTCGTATGCTGTTTTGAAATAAACAGTCGGGTTAATTAACAATTTTCTATTAATTATTATTGTCATTGTTAAATTTTTTATTTAAATTTTACTGATTTTATATATTTACACCATAAAAAATTCCAGCTGGTCCAACTATTTGAGCACCTGGCGGAAAAGGTGATTGTAAATGAGCAGAATTTATCATAGGATCGTGATGAATTCGACGATGTTGTTCTTGTATTTTTTGTTGATGTTGATTATTATTATTAATGACTTCGTTGTTGTTTGAATGATTATTATTATTACTTTGATTATTCATGTAATTAGTATTCATGTAATTGTTGTTATTATTATTATTCTGACTATTATGATAAATGTTCATATTGTTATTTGAATTACTATGATTATTTAAACTATTTAAACTGTTTTGATTATTTGAATTGTTTGGATCCATGAAACTTCTATCCTCCCGTACGTCCAAATTACGACCTTGCCAATTATAATGATCGTACATTGCTACCAAAAAAGAATGTTTTGAATATAAAGGTTTGTGAATATAAATTTTATAAATTTTATAAGAATGGACCATTATTGTTAGCACTTTTACCAATTGCTTTTTTTGCGTCTTCGACATTTGCAAATAAAACAGTCCCGTGGCCCTTTGATCTGTTATCGTATCCCATTACAACATCAGCACGTAAAACAGTTCCAGCCTTGCGAAAAAGATCTTTTAAATCTTGCCATCGTACACGAAATGGAAGCTGTTAAAACAAAAGATATTATTATTATTATCATCATTATTATTATGAATTAATTAATTAATTAAATTTTATCTTACATTTCCAACAAATAATTGTCTTTGTAAATTTGATGAATTAACATTAGTTCCACTGGTTCCTGCAGCAGAATTATGAACATTTGTAGATTCTTCTAAATATGTTGTAGTGGTCTCATTAGATGCGTTTGCTGTTATAGAATTTATGGTTGTTGTTGTTGCGTTTATAGTTCCATTAATTGTCATAGTAGTACCATTTGTTAAAATATTTTCATTGTTAGATGAATGAGGAGAAATTGTATATTTGACCGGCGATGTATTTGAAAGTGGTGACGATGATGATGATGATGGCGAAGATGATGATGAAGATGTCGTTATTGTTGTTGAAGATGAAGATGTTCCATTAATTTCAATTGGCGTATTATTGGCGGTGTTAATGGTTATTGGATTTGTGTGACCATTTGTTTCTTTTATTAAATCATTTTCTGGCTGAAGATCATATATATATATATATATATATGTACACATACACATTGATTAATTGATTAATTGATTGTTTGGTTGATTGTTTGATTGTTTGATTGTTTGATAAATACGAAAATAATGATTGTTATTCTTATTATAATAATAATAATGAAAATGATAATTACTTCGGATTGATTATTATTAGAAACACATTCTGTACTTGATGGAGACGGTGAAAAATCCATAACACTACGATCCTTAGTATAAATCAATAAATATTAATGACCAAAACTTATATTCATAAGAGAGGGATGAATATATAGAAATATAAATAATCATTACCTCTCTTACTTCTAACTTTCTTCCATGCCATTCATAACCATCAAACTTTGCTAATGAAATAATAGATTTTTATTTACTACTTATTGTTTCTAATTAATTAATTGAAAAAAAAAATCGAGAGATTGACACCTACATAAAGCCTCCTGAGCATCAGCAACCGTTGTATACAATACAATACCTTGACCTCTTGACCTATCGTCATGACCCTGAATAATATTTGCATGTTGTACATTACCCACAGATATAAATAAATCCTAAATAATCGAATGGAAAAATAAAAAAAATTTATTAAATAAATCTAATAAATGATCTGTTTTCTTAATTTTTTTAATCAATTGAATCGACGTGTCAGTAATAATAGTAAAACTATTAATTACCTTTAATTCTTGCCAACCCACTTTATTCAAAGAATTATCAAAAAAAAAAAAAAAGAATTATTATGTTAGCACAGGATCATTAATTGTATAATTGACAAAGGAAATCAAATTTTGGTTTTTTAAAAAAATACTTACCTACTGGAAGCTATCGAATACGCGACATTCACAACGAAAATTTTTTAATTTAATTCGTTAATTAATAAAATAAAAAAGGTAAAGGAAAGAAAAACTACTACATGTAATTGATATTTCCTTATAATTCACTCACATTTCCAACAAAAAGTTGTCTTCCTTTAATTGTCATTATTTACAAAAATATTTGAAAGAAAATTTTCTTTTTTTTTTTTAATGGAAAAAAAAAAGAAAAGAAAAAAATAGAAATAGAAATTTTTTTTAATTTTTAAAAAGAGTTTCTTCACATGCATCAATTTTGGATAAGATTCTTGTTTTGATGAGCTACACAAAAAATCTCAAATTATAAATTATTTATTTTTAATATTTTTAATAAGACGTGATGTTTTTTATTAATCCCATTTTTTTATTATTATTATAAAAATATACACGAGATTATTCTTTATATTTTTTACACAAGTAGAGATAACGTGATTAATTGCAATCTAGAATCTTTATAAAGAGAATCAACCAACTTTACCAAGTAAATAATCTGAGTTAATGACTCGGACCCTCGTACTCGGAAAAAAAAAATACATCAATCCACATAAAAATATAAAAATAAATAAATGTTTAATAAGCATAGTGGAAATTCTATTTTGATCAACATTTGCAGTTATCACATTTACATTTTAGTAGAAGATATTCGTGTTACATACATAAAATTCGTTTAGTTTTTTTTCTTTTTTGCGTGATATGTACAAACATATATATTCGAATTTATTTATTTAAAAATTTGTGATCTTACATATCCTTTGATACATAATAGTAAAGTTTATATTGATATAATACTTTCTCATTATTGAAGAAATAAAATATGTATATTTGTATATACAGTTTACTCTCTATAACAAACACCAAGTAAATCTCTATATATAACAAACTTCACTTTTTTTTATAATAATAATTAATTTCTCCTTATAATCTTAGTAAAAAACCACATATAGAGATGGAAGGTAAGAGTAAATGGGAAACTATTAATAAGAATCCATAAAATAAATAAATGTTTAATTTTAAATAAAAAATAAAGTAAACATGCATACATAGTCAAATAAAAGCCAATGTAAAGATCCATATCAATAAGAGAATTCTGGAAGAATTAATGTTATATGCTCTATATGTAATTTGAACCTTTTACACATTTTCATGAAAATACCACTAATATGTGTATATTTCTTTAATGAAAGAGCAAGGTATATACAACTTTTATTTTCTTTAAAAAAAAAAGATATATATATATTAATATTCTTTTCTTATAATAAAAAATAGTGAAATAAACTAACTTTAATAATAATAATTTATTCTCTATGAAGGTTGGAATTTTGATCTTAAAGTTTGGAACAAAAGAAAATAGATTGAAAAGAAGGATCGAATTAGTAAATGAATGGAAAACATTTTTATTTATATAACACTTTTTTATATTTCATATATGTTGCTTGTTCTTATATATATCATATCATTCATATATTTTATAATAAGTTTTTATCTACCTTATATATTATATATTGAATTCCGTTTATTTGACTAAAAATTATGCAATTTTTGCTTCATATGTAACCTTTAGATTGATTCGCGTCCAAACATGTCCCAAATCTTTAAATGAAAGTGCGTAAGGAAAAGATAAAAAATAGCTGTTTAATGATGGACAACACCTGACGTACTTTAAACACATAAATTAAATTTATCACAGTGATCATCAAATTGTGACATAAATAGAATTTCCACTATTACTATGCTTGTTTAATAATAAGTTTTTGTATGACAGAAATTTAAGGTAGAAAAAAACAAATAAATAAAATAAATAACAATATATAAATACATAATAATAATGAATTCGTAGAAATAAAAATTTTTTTTTGGGCTTTTCTCGACGCAATTTACTAATTGGACGAATATGGAATTGCATTTATTTTCCCAAAATATAATCATTATTGTTTGAATGATTCTGGGGCGTAGAAAGAGGTAAAATATGGAAGATGCATGTAGCTTGACAATCTAAAGATAATATACTCTTTGTTCTATTTATTTAAATTTAAACCTTAACGTATTAATATTAATTGTTCCAAGATTATTGCATCCAGTGATATTATTTTTTGCTATCTTAATGTTTAAAAAAATATAAAAATGTACAACTATCAAAGGAGTGTTTGCGAACCTTCAAATGGCTGCCACAAAAATTTACTTCCAAATTTGAACATTTGCGCCAAAATTCTTCGACGATTTTTGGACCGATGATCGGATCAATTCGTGATCCGCCGATCAACGATTATTTATTATTATTATTGTTATTATTATTATTAATAAAAACCCGGGAGATCGGCAATTATTATACAAAGTCACATGAAATTATTTTTTTTATGTGAATTATAATTATCATATTGATTATCTTGATTATATTAATTAATAGCTTAATTAATTTGCAGCAAAATAAGTCATTATTTTATTTTAGATTTTAACTATAAGAGAAGGAATCAATTTGTTTATTTTGTTTATTTTGTTTATTGACATTTTTTTTCATGATCTAATAATAAAAAAAACTACCGTGTCACAAAAATTGAATTCAAATTGAAGGTGCGATGCGTGTAACATTATTATCCAATCAAAGTTAGAATTTCTGTAGATAGTTTCTAAATTTGTACTAGTTACACGACGAAATTTACACACCAGCAAGATGTTGAAAATTCTTTTATGGATAGATCAGCGTTACACATAAAAACGATACTTGGAAAAGTGACGCCAATTTGTTCTTTAAAAGTATTTTATTAAAGGGCTACGGTCAAAAAATTTTTATTATTAGATAAAATTTGTACAAATTTATTAATAATTAGCTATTATAGAGAACCAGTTGCTAAATGAAACTGATAGACTAACATTCATTATTTACTTGCTCACCCTGGTTGATCTGCATGAAAAATTAATCAACCCAATGAGGAAATTTTCAACCAATGTTACCAAAGTTGTAAAACCATTTACATCAAGTTCTCTTCCATTAATATTAATGGCTAATAAATATCAAAGTTCACAAAAAAAACTGTATATGCTTCAAGGTTTTTTCTCAATTTTCTTGTGTATCTAAACTCGAACATTTCTATTAATAACGTGATACATGGTCGGAGTAGATAAAATCATCGATTAGGAATTCGGTTTTTTATGTTCCAGGGCCAACTAATTTTAGTTTACGCAAAATCTTTTTATAATTATTATCAATTACTGTGTAAATAATTATGGAAGTTTCATAATATCAATCAATATTGATTGATTAAGTTACTTTACAATAATAAATTCATCTTTACCAGGGTGCGAAATGTGTGATCAAAAATATCGGGAGAGATGCCCGGTTTGGGAAAATTTTATCGGAAAACTTCAATAAATATTGGGCCAAAAAAATTTTCTTAAATAGGGTTTCTATTTGAATTATTCGTTATTATTATCATGGATTTGAGTATTCAAATTACATTGAAAGTTTATTCGAATAAAATAAATATATCTGATATGTACATTGCTAATTCAATACAATTAAAATATTTTTTCTTTTGCTCAGTCCTTATATACAATGATAAATAATGGTAGCAGAAGTAATTGACATTTTTCTTAAGCCGTAATATTAGTAACCGTAGTAGTAGTAATATAGATTATAAATATAACCATACTATCTTGTTAAAAGGAAATAAGACCTTATTTATAATTTACAATTTCTTAACAATAACAACAATAACAATATATAGAATTTGTTGCATCAAGTTGTGAATTAATGTTTTATATTTATTTTGTAAAACGAATAAAACGAGTAAAATGAATAAAATGCAATAGTAATAGTAATAGTAATAGTAATAGTAATAGTAATAGTAATAATGATTCGAATATACTAATGCAAACTGCAGAAATTTGCCGATCATCGGATATAACAAACACTTCAATTATTAAGTGAAATAGGTATTAAATAGTGAGTAAAAATTCCTCTAGTAGTCTCAATAGAGATACAAATAACTTATCAAATGGTTCTGAGGGTTTAGAACATGCAATTACATCAGGTGGCATTCTTTTGGATTATTACAATGGGTAATAACCATTTACTTTTTATCTATGTTTGAATGTCAGGTGTTAAATCTTAATACCTTTTGGGGCCTGGTTTAGTAGGTAACGGTGAAGGGTTGGTTTCATGGTGAACTTTAACAGTTTACTAGGGGGCAGTCATTTTCTTTTTTGTGTAACTCATGTATTTTCATTGTTTTACAATTAATAAAATTATGTGACATTACCTCATTGTAAAAAAAAAAAAAAAATTAAATAGTGAGTAAAAAAAAAGAATATCAAGTTTCTCTGAAGTCTCTTGGCTCTTTGGATAAGAATTTACGTTTTGGTCCATTTCAAGGAAATTGAACAAACTAATATCTAATTTATGTAAACATGAGAACAACACTATTGTTCCAAGGTAACAATTAACCATTACATGAATAAAATTATTATCATCCACTTCAAAAAAAATTTTCGATTTTCTCATATATAAAATTATAGAGTCTAACAGTAATTAAAAGAAGAGGTTAACTTAAATATTGGTTATTCTGCACTAGGTCAGAAGCATTCATTTTTTTTTAAAGATTATTGCCTAAATGTTAAAATAATGTTTTGATTGATCGGATTTCTTTTTTATCTAAAAAAAAAAAAATAATAATAAATAAATAATACCCATCGAATATGCAAGTTAACATGGAAAAGAATATATTCGCCTAAATGTTAAAATGATGTTTATCCAGTTTCTTAATTTATTATTATTATGGAACTCTAACTTCAGTGCTTTTGGCTGGAATACTGACAAGAGTTGTTGATGAAATTGAGTACTCAAACTTGCAACTATACAAGGATGGATAATCTGACATACGGCTAGTTAAATGCTCAACTAAATTCTTTAATATTAAATAAAATTATAATGTCATGCATACAGTCCACACTGTCTATAACGGACCAGGAAATTTGTCCGTTATAGAGAGAATCCTAATACGGCCATTTTGCATTATATACTTTAGAAATTATTCCTCGTAGTGCAAGCTGTGAACATTTATTTTCTGTATTAAGTTGCTTTGTTTTAAAGTTCCGAATGATTGATTCGATTCGAATCAAACCGGGTTCCTAATTTTTTTTAATGAATTGAGGTTTGATAATAATAATAAACTAAAATTATAATATTATTATTATGTAACGAGCCATTCCTTTTTCTCACAAATTACATCCAGTATTTTAAACTCGGACAGGGCATAAAAGTTATTCCCTGGGTCATGTAAAGCTCCCTCCCTACCGGGAGGGCTTATATGTTACTCAGGGGATAACTAACTAATATATACTAAAAAGGAATAGTTAGAACTCGGTGTTTTTGAAGAAATAGGATTTCTTCTATTCTTTAAAAAAAATGGCGTTTATTGATGGAATACACTATAGAAAATTTACTTTTTGCTTTTGAAAAAGCAATTGATGCTCTCGCGTATTTCAATAACAAAAATAACGAAGTTTGGACAACCAATCAAAATTCAGAATCTAGTGGTCCGGTTCAGTTGGTCCAGGTTCCAACTCTATAGTTACACTTATTATTATTTAATATTTATTACATAAGCTAAAAATGTTCAAAGTTTGAACTGTCTTCAAGCATGACAACTTTCCAAATTACAAATAGTTTAGTTAAATTTACCTTTTCAAATTCAAATTATCTAAATTCTTTTGCAAGGTCAATTTTTATTTCAACAAAAAATAAGCCTATTGTGTTTTGTCGTTTTTTAACATACACAACCTCTAGTTTAATTGATAGAAAAAAAGAGAAAAGGCAACTGTTGTCCAAAAATTTTAACAGGTTTCAATTTTTTAACACTAATTCTATACAATTTGCTGAAAAGGTAAATGAAGAAGCTAGTGTAAAATCAAAGACAAGTTCGATAGTTCATAGTATTCTTCATGGTTCAGCTGCAACAAAAGAAGAAGACAAACATACTCATTCAAAGTTAATTGCACGTGGTAAATATGTTCATGAGTTTCAAAGTAAGTTTCTAATCATTATTTTTATTTGATAAAAAACATTGTCAAAATTCATATCTTATTATCTTAGCATATAATTAAATAATAGTTTACCCAAAATTCTATTATTATATTTAGAACATAAAATAAAACCAGAATATGTTGATGATTACATAAAACTCATGTAAGAATTTATTAGATTATTTCATCATCTTTCTTATAAGCCAAAAAATTTATATTTGTTTTTTAATTATTTCAAAGATCTCTACATTATCCTAGAATTGCCAATGACCCAGATAATTCAGTTCATCTTTGTGGTAGTTGGCAGACTGAAATTGGTGATCTTGATACTTTTGGTAAGAAATATTTGGATTTTTTAAAAATCACAATTTGTCCTAATTAAGGTATTTTTTTAGTTCATATTTGGGAATACTATGGATATACAGGATATCATGATACATACAATAGATTAAATAATGATTCAGTGAGTAGTTTTTGCCACTGTTATTGTTATCACCATTTTTCCTTATTGTTGGGATATATATTAAAGATCTTTTTAATGCTTAAAAATATTAAAAATAGCAATACCAACAATTTCTTAAAAAAGTCAGACCTATGCTTTTGAATCGTTATAGTCAGATATGTTTAGAGTTTGCTTTTTGGAAAACAAGTCCACCAGCAGTTCATGGTGGAATTTATGAATTGAGAACTTATGAGCTTAAAGTAATGTTGATTAATTAATTAATATAATGTTTATTGTGTACTAATTTTATTTTATCAATTTTTTAGCCTGGGAATTTATTAGAATGGGAAACCCACTGGTAAATATTTTTTTCTATTATGTGATAAACAAAGAACACAATTTATCATATTACTAAAAAATATTTGATGAAATAGGCATCGTGGTCTTGAGTGTCGTAGACAGTTCTGTGAACCTGTTGGTGCTTGGTTTTCTCAGCTGGGATTCTTAAATTGTGTTCATCATATGTGGCAATACCCGTGAGTAAATTATTATTGTTGTTGTTGTTGTTATATAATTTTATTGCTGTTGTAACATATTTATATTATTAGAAGGAGTTAAAGATATCTATCTTTATTTATTTTCATTAAATAGTGATCTTGAAAACCGTAAAATCACACGTGAAAAGGCTTGGGAAGTTGATGGTTGGGCAGAAACAGTTTACAAAACTGGTATTACAAATATTTTATTATTTTACTGTCATAATTAATAATAATTTAATAATTTTGAATATTTAAAAAAAACTTTTTAATATATATATAGTCCGACTTGTTCAAAAAATGGAAGCAAACATTTTGAAACCATTGGATTTTAGTCCATTAAGATAAAAAAAACTTGGATTAAATACATGTGCACCATAAATATATTTATAGAAAGCAACATAAATAACATATTTTTATTTAATTCAATAAATTTGTTATACTTTCATCATCAACAGTTTAAATAATATCTCCATCATTTTCGTCATTGATATACCTCCACGATTTATTATTATTAACACTGTTATTTAAGGGTAGAGTGTAGTCGTGTGATTATATATAATGATCGGCAAGGATAAATAATTCCCGAACCTCTTTTTAAAATCACTTGCCTCATACACAGCTACACCAAAAACCAGTTTTCAGCATGTATCCAATCATTTGGTTAAAATATATTGTTAAAAAAAAAAATTTGTAAAGCTAAAGACATTTTGCTAATCACTAATAAACATATACAAAATATATAATGATTTAACAAAAACAGAATATTCATATTCAGGAACTGGTTTTCTTAATACCTTCAATGATTATATTCAATCAAAAAGAAAAAGGAGGATTTCTATTCCTGATATTCTTGGTTTTAATGTAAAAGAGAATGTTGAGTTTCTTTGTAATAAGATATGCTACCACTATCCCTCTATACTCAACGATTGTAAAAAAATTCAAACTGAAACAAAAAAAACAAATACATTAATTAATACAATGAAAAGGAAAGGTGACCAACTTATCAAAGAAATTGAATCAGGAGTAGAACATGATAATGATATCAATAATAATACTAAAGAAAATCAAACCAATATTAAAGAAGGAACTATTATTAAGAGTAAGAGTATAAATGCTATTCCAACAGAAGCACAGGCTTGCCCTTGTCAAATTCAGGGAGAAAGATCGTTTGTTTCATCAAGAAAAAAAAATATAGGCATGCTATGGAAACTGTCACCAAACTACAAGAAAATTGAGTGAAAAGAATACATTAGATAATGAAAGACAGTTAAAAATCAAAGAATTAGCTACTCAGGCAATCAATTCATCACAAGTGGGTTCTACAATAATGGTTGATACTTGTAATTATGTCAGTCCACTATTATCACAATCTTGCCATAATTGTGGTGATATTTCAATTGATAGTAAAAATTGTATAATCAATAACATAGGTTTTTCAGTAAACACTATTATATGTTGCGAAGGCTGTAACAACATTTCTGAATTTTCTAATGATACACCAAAGGCAAGTACATCTGTTCTAGTAGCTGGTGGTAGTTTATTATCAGGGATAAATAGACAACAATGTGAAACTTTTTTGAGCACAAGCTACCATTAAAAGCTTGAAAGAGAATAATAAAAATGTTTTACCAGTGAGCTTTGATGTTTCTTGGTCTCATGTTAGAAATGCTAACCAAGCAACTGGGGAATTTATTTTCCAATGTGAACTGTCAGGCCATTCATCAAAACCAGTTGTCGTATTTCATGTAATTGAGAAATCAAGATTTATCAAAGTTTCATAAGGTAAATTTTGATAAAGCTAGTAGACAGATGGAACAAGCCATTTTGATCGCCTGTTTAGAAAAAATAACACCTAATTTAGACAAAGAAAATATATTATTAGATATAGGTGTTAATGGAGATTTAGATAGCAACAAAACATTAAAAACAGAAAGAGTGGTTAATAAAGTGTATGGTGATTTAAAACATGCAACTAAAATCATCAGAGGAAAGGTAATTAAAAATAAAATGGAATACTTTTGAGCAGCAAATTGTGAAATACTTTTATAGTTGTATATATGCTGCTTCTGCAAGAAAAGCATCAAAGGAAATGATAACTCCAACAGAAGAAGAATTGAAGAATGTGCAAGTGAATGGTTTAGTTTCACACCTTTCTGGAAATCACTCTTTGTGTTGGTCAGAAGTATGCTGGTTGAAAGATAATCCTGATTTAGAATTAGTTGACTCTAATATAATAATTCAGAAAAAGAAGACTTTAAAAAATGTTGCAAAAATGTTTTGCCTCCCCTACACAACAAAGTTTTGTGACAGAAATCAGAACTTCTTGTAATGAGACACTAAATTAAAAACTTTAGATAAAAAGATCGATTTTTGGGCACCATTTAGAGCATGTCATGCTGTTGCTATTTTGGACCATAATGAAAGTTTATTAGAATTTATTAAGGTTACCAGAGACTTTTACCTCTTTCAGAAAATGATATTAAAAATATAGAAAAATTTGCTCTTGTACATGATGTTCAAAGATCTAGAAATTTGAAAAATATTCATGCAAGAAATATTGAAAAAGAAAATAAAATTATAGAACAAAAACAACAATTAGAAGCCTTTGACTATGATCAAGATCTGGTACTTTATGGCATGAGGTTTCATTCAAGAATTGTTGATAAAGAAGTTATATCTCAAATTTGGTGGTGGTTGCCACACAGCAAGGGTATCAAATGGAGGGTGTGAAGACATTTGATTATAAAATTTTACTATGATGCAGATCATCCAATTTTACTATTAATATTAATATGTTTTGACAACCTCCTCATGCGACTATTACACACTATTACAACACAAACTATCATTGTGGTTTTTTTTTTTTATTAATGATACTAAAGACTAGTGCCGTAATCTAAAAAAGGAAAAAGTATGGTTGCAAAGGTAATTGCAACTACTTTTTATATGCCATAAATACAATTACTACCATCATCATAATTTACAGCACTAGTCTTTAATTTTTATGGTGAAGTACTTGAAAATCATCGAAAATTAAAGAGCATTATCTATTCACAAGTAGAATGGTTTGAAATCATATGCAAACATAATATTAATACATCTGATTAATGTATATCAAATCACAATTAATAGCTATTACCTTATTTTTAATAATAGAATAAAATTTAAAGACAAGTTGGCAACTTTTTGGAGAGATATCATACAAGAAAGTAACCAGTATTACAATGATGTAAGTAGCAAGTGGACATATCAATCACCAGGAATCTCATCATCTTTATCAACTCCTACATCAATTTCAACTGAATTCTTTACTTCTCCTGCTATCACTACTTCCACTATCACTACTATTAAGTTCTCTTTATTATTATTATCTCCAACTGTAAGTTTATACAATTATCATTTTTATTTATTGATTGATTTTAATCAGCTATTTGTTCATTATTCTTTATTATTGTATCAACAGTTATAATGATGTCAACAAATTTTAGTCAATGTCAACAACTCCTTCTTCTGCACCAACGACCCCACCACATCCTACAATTATTTTTTTATTTGATTGTTGCTATTAATGAAAATGATAATCAAATTCCTACATGATAATGTTGATTATCATATTAATAATGGCATGTGTTTTCAAGATGATGATTTAATAAAAATATTTATTAACTATGAAATGTTGTTGACCAACAAGTGATTAAGTTATGTGTTTTTATAATATTGTTGGTAAAGATGGCTCTGCAACTAGGAAGTTGCAATCCAAAAAAATATTGACATCTAATGCTGCAACTGCTGCAACTGTTGTAAGTCTGCAATTGCTGTAAACTATCTGCAACTGTCTGCAACTGTCTGTAATTGTCTGCAACCTCTGGTTGGTCAGCTACTTCAATCACTATAAAACCAAATTTATTTTTATCAAAAAAAATTTTTTAATTAATGATTTTATTTAAAAACAATAAATCCCATTTTGCAGTTATGTGATTCCATTTTTGATACTAAATCATCATAATTATAGTTTCAGGGGTTGCAGAGGCTGCAGAAAAGATTGTTTAAAACCTGCAGTTGCAGAAAATGTGAAAACAGTTACAGACATCAACTTTAATTAATGGTATCAATTTCTTGTTCGTCAAACAATCGTGCAACAGGAGAAAAAAATTTGCACGCGTTTAAAATTTGTGTTTGTATAAGAGAAAAAAAATATATAAAATGTTGCTGTTACTAGGTTAGGTGGTAGGGAGGGTAGTGAAAATTAAATCTTTTTGGCACCATGTAACTTTTTAAATGACTTTGAATCAAAAAAATATTAATATGCAAATTTTATTGTGTTGTGAAATTATCCACATCAAGTCAATTTTGGGAATGTCTCAACAATTTTAGATTCTTTTAAGTTACAATTCCACCATCCATTGCATTAAAAAGTCACAGATTGTCATGAAAGTTATCCTCAAATATTATGATTGATTTTTTTCAAAAACAACAACTTTTATATAAATTGTTTCTGAATTTGTCAAAATGCATTTGGAAAACGTATTATACTTACTAATCAGCCAATCACAGTGCGAATCAAACCTTATGATTTTTGTTACCGACCTTTCTATATATATAGTTTTGGAGTCCTATCCAAACTTTGAGCTCGAAAATTTGAATTCAAACAAAACGTTTTCAGAAATTTTCAAAAAAGCTGGACCATCTGTTTTTTTTTTTGACATTTGATACAAAACATTTTTAATTGTTTTTGCACTTTGTCACTGAAATCCTCAGAAACAGTAAAGCAAAAGATTTTCTCGTAAAATTTCAATAGTTACCATAGTTTTTTCATTCGAAATAAATTCATTGCTCAAACGCGTTGCAATTTTGTGGTTTTTTCGAGATTAAAAATGGTTTTGCAATTCGTCTTTGAAACACTCGAAAACCATCGGCCGAGCAAGCCTCGTGTATTATTTATACGAAAATTGGGTCATTTTAAATTCAGTTTGCAAACAACTGCTTCCTTTATCCTTATTTTAACTTAAGTTATAAAGCTTATAAGGGGCATTTCAAGCTTTGTTTATCTCTAAATAATACTCTATGATTTTTCTACTAAATTTTATTAAACTAAATTTATGGGTTATTATAAAATTATTGTTATTATAATATTAATACTTTTAATTTATATTATTATTATTATCCATTCAATCCGTTTGATCTGACAGATGTATTATTTATGTGATGACCGGATGACGGATTAAATTTTAGAGGATGATGAATGTATGTATGTATGTATGTATGTATGTATGAATGGATGTCCGCGGATCGCGAAAAAAATTTTTAAAGATCAATTTATTAATATTAATAGTGTTACACGTAATTTCAATTTTACTAAATTATGGCAGAAACATCAATTGAATCCAACGTTAAAATAGATTTATGTGAGTTTTAAAAAGATGTGTATATAAATGTTATGAATAGTTTATTAAAAAAAAATATTATCAAAAATAGCAAAATCTAGATATGATCAATCTACATACATTGGGCGTGTAAAGCATTTTTTAGATGTTACTGATCCCAGGTATTTTGTTTGAATGCTTATGATTTTAACGAGCTTATATATATATATAATTTACTTACATTATATATTTATAGAACATTATTTGTTTCAAAATCCAAGTTAAAAACAGCAAAAAGCTTAATTAATGATTATAATTCTGGTAAAATACAAGACATAGATCCAGAAAAATTATGGAAAGCAAAAAAAAGTTTGTAATGTATAAAAAATATTTAAAGCTGGAATGATTTAAATCTCATTTAAATCTTCTTATTTATAATATCGAACAACTAACTAAACGATTAATATAATAATTTAGCATTAGATTCTACAATTCATCCAGATACTGGTGAACCTATTTTTCTTCCATTTAGAATGTCATGTTTTGTACCAACAAATCTTGTTGTTGTAGCTGGTATGCTAATGCCCAATCCAAGTGTAAGAAATTTCATGGAATTATAGAAAAAAAATATTCTTTTCACAATTTTATAACACTTTATTTTTTTTTTAAAAAAATAAATTAAAAATAGATGAAAAGCCTTATATTTTGGCAATGGGCAAATCAAAGTATCAATGTGGCAATAAATTATTCAAACGCTAATAAAACAACTCCATTGAGTTTTAAAGAAACTGCAAGTAATAAAATTATTTTTAAAAACTTTTTTCAAAAGAAATATTTAATAGATTTTGCTAATATTATTTATAATATACAATATTTAGTTGCATATACTTCAGCTGTGACTACTTCATGTGTTCTTGCTGTGGGCCTTACACAAGCTGTACCTAGGATGAGGTTTTTGAAGCCTTCAGTTCGTGGGCTTTTATCTAGATTGGTACCTTTTTTTGCTGTAGCAAGTGCTGGTACTGTAAATGTCTATCTAATGAGATTAAAAGAAATCAGGTATATTAATTGATGACTATTTTTTATTATTATTTTTATTATTGTTATATATTTCAATTTTCATATTGTTTTTAATATTTAGGAATGGAATAGATGTTTATGACGCTAATGGAAATAATTTGGGCAAATCACAAAAAGCAGGTGCATCAGCTGTTGGTCAGGTATGTGATAAATAATTATAATTATATATAATTATATAATTTAAATATCAATTAATTGATCTAATTAATTTATTTTTTAATTCAGGTTGCAATTTCTCGTATTTTAACAAATTCTCCTGTTCTTACAATACCACCAATTGTTCTTTCACAACTTGAAAAAACATCATTTTTAAAACACTATCCAAGATTATTGACTCCTATTAATTTTGGTGATTGTTATTATGTTTTGTATTTTGAAAAATATAATTGTCAGACCAGTCTTTTCTAACCATTTTATTTAATCAATTAACCAAATTCTTAATAAATATTTTCAGGGCTCATAACCATTTCTTTGATGACTGCTCTACCTTTAGCGATTGCAGCATTTCCTCAATATGCTTCAATAGATCCGATGAAACTGGAAACCAAATTTTGGGAATTAAAAGATGAAAATGGAAATGTTATAAAAAGAGTATTTTATAATAAAGGATTATGATGTGTCATTCATTATTTAATTACAATAAAATCAAAATTTTTTTTTCGTATTGAAGTAATAATTTCCAGTGATATTTATTTCTCAATGATTAATTATTGAAGTAGTTGAAATTTTTGTTCGCGACACCGAACTTTTTTATGTTGTGAGACAAACAAAATAAATAAAATAGGGTATGGCTGCGCACAAATCCTATTTTGGTAACGCGCGATCCATACGAAAGTTTTGTGATCTGTGCCATACATGAAATCAAATCCCCAAGGCCAAGATGTTTTGACTCGAGACAATTACATAGTAAAAATCAATTCTGACCAGATCAAAATGGCTTCAACTTCATATATAATCAATCTATGCCTTGGTTGTAACATTCCCCATTTTATATTTGCGCTGCCCTAAAAAAAGTATTGATTCTCCCCAAAAAAAAAACGGTGTGTTGGTTTTGCTTTTTATGTTGTATATGAATTTGAGGATCGAGCTGAAATACTGCTCTATGTATAATTTGGCTTTACACATTACACTCAAATATGAGGTATCTATATATTTGTTTGGAGCATCAACATTAGCCAGTCATACTATTTATTTGTTGCGTTGAGCAAAAAATTTATTTATTCATTTATTTAAAAAATTACATATACAAAGGGAAATTGTTTACAAATTTAATAAATTTAACAAAGATCCTTTGAAGAATAATACTTATGTGAATCAATTGACTATTTACGAATTTTGATTGTTAAAAAATCAACAAGTTTTTTTTCCTAATTAAAAAAAAAAAAGGTCTTTTATTTTGATCCTTTCCTCGTGTTTATTCATTTATCCCAGATTAAAGCTCAACTAGATTTCTATTTTTTCAAGTCTATCGCTATACAAGAATAAGCTTCATGCAAACATCAAAAGTTATTTACGAACTTCGATTGTTAAAAAAAAATCAACTAAGCAGTGAAATACATTTTTGGAAATTGGATAAGAGGAAACAAAAAAAAATATATTACAAGGATAAGTTGCTCTCTTATTCAAAGAGCCATCCCATCCTGGAAGAGGATGACTGTTTAGCAATTTGATTTTGATAATTAGTAGATTACAACTTCAGATAAATTAGGCCAGAAGGTGTGATTTTAGTGTCATATATATATACACAGCAAACCAGTTTTTACGAGTAGTAGAGGGTATTTTTAATCTTGGTTGATGAAATTACTTTATTTAGTTCAACATCCAACTGTGGTGGTTCTTGGATATTAGTCATTCTAAATCATTAAGCAACCTGTTGAAGGAAACTATTACTAATCTTTCTTCTTTTATTATTATAAAAAATCAAAACGCGTTCGAATTGTTTTCAATGCTTAAGTTTGAAACTCACATAGGCAGCAACTTTTACAAACATACGAGTTATGTTAACTTCGAATCTTGACTTTAACTACGCGTAATAATAATATTAATAATAAAATCAAAACACGCTTTAATGCCTGAGTTTGAAGCAACATAGGTTGATCAATATTGGTACGTAGAACGACCTTTACATAGCACATAAGACAGATTTTGGTACAGATTTTGTAAGTTTTAATTTTGAAAATTTTTAAGTGATAAAACTGAAATTCTTTTATTGATAACGCAATTTTCTTTTTTTTCAATTTATATTAAAATTACGAGAGAATCGTTTGTTGCACGCCACTCAATTCTCCGCAAAGAAAAGCAAGTTTTTAAACAAAAATGTAACAGCGAGTTTCGTGAAATACTGATATTCTGATTATAAAATCACATGACTCAATCACATAGATATATATTCATTCAGAGCATTGGATGCAAAGCATCTTAGCATAATATCATGTATACATGATCAATGATGTAATCATTAATAAAAATAGACTATTTCATGGCTAGATGGTGCATTGATCGAGTAGTCTAATAAATTGCAGCAAAATCATATAAATAGACCTGCTGTCCCCCCAAAAACATCACCAAAAACAGTGCATAATTCTGCCTTTTATGTTGCATTCGAATTCGAGGGTCGAGACACGTAGTACCAAAATGGCGTTCCATGTATGATACACATTATATTCAAATACAAGGTATCTATAAATTCGTTCGGAGCATCAACATTAGCCAGTCATATTACTATTATATCAATATTTTTATTTTATTCAAGGGAAATTGTTCATGAATTTAATATATTTAATAATCTCTCCCTTGATAATTAATAAAACAATAGGTGACAATGAAAGATACTTCATAAATGATCTTTAATAATTTAAAGACTTCCATGGTTTTAATGACGCCCAACTTCCTGTATATTGTTTTTTATCTCATGAAACAAGGCATTTAAATCAATATATTGACTTAATACATCATATTCATGACCAGGACCTAAAGTTAGATTTGTGTTGGAGATAATGATGAAGGTTCATCAAATAAATTTATTAACATCCAAGATCTTAATGATGATACATAGTGAAACATGGAATTACATAAATACTTAAATTACCAGTTACTATCAAATCATTTCTTGTAATTACATCGGACTCACTGTACAAAACGATTAAATAATTCGTTATAAAGTGAGTTAAAAAGTAATAGTAATTATTAGCTCATAAGAAATAAATCCACCATTCTAACTATATATAGATTCAACCACTGCACCTCTTACTTGACTTTATCATCTGCCAGCTCGTTTCTTTGTTTTCTTTTAACTTGTAAAGATCGTTGTTTTAATTAATTAACTACCTTTTTTTTTTTTACAAATACATTTAAGAAATTCACTACGTTGTGATCTTTGAATTATTTAAATAACTTGATAAATTTTTTTTTCTTGGCATTTTTTAAAGGGGAACAATCGGCTATTGATAGCCGATAAAATTTTTCTGATATAAAAAATTTTTTCTGAGGGCATCACTTTCTAATATGAAAATGATCTTTGAGATTCAGCCTATTTAATCTATAAATAAAAATCCAGTTGTTGTCCTTGTGGTTTTTGCAAAATCTTCTTTAAAAGTTGGTCGATTGACTGTTTTTACTTTGCTGATCGTTAAATTGACCAATAAGAAAAAACTTTAATTTGTGTTACCATTAAAGACCATTTAAGAGATAAAGACGAAAAGTTGGCCATGTAACTATTTTTCTTATTTAAATTCTTGTTGAATAGAATGATCATTGATTTGTTTATATGTGGGTCACGTTTTTTGTTTAAAAAAATTTGCGGGCAATTGATCATTAATTTTTATTTTTGTGATATAATAGGGCGCAACATAGTAAAATTTTCTTTCCCTCTATTCAAAAATTCGAACTAAAAGAATACTTTTTAGAGTCTTGATATTAATTTTAAAATCAAAGATCCTTTTAATGAATTTAATAAATTTGTAACATTAAAGTTATTTATAAAATCTCAAATGATCTAATTATTTGCAGAACAATATATCGGCTCATCCTGTTTTGTTTGTGTTGCTTATAATTAAATAGCTATATCATTGAATAGTAGAAAATACTCATATCACATTATAAAATATATATTAGATATAGCAATAAAATAAGAGAATTACTATTCATACCCGGTGGGTGTAATACCCAGGTGGTACCATTAAAATAAAATTTTTTACGTTTATTTATTATAACAAGATTTTTATTTCTCGTTTTTTTATTCTTATTATTATCACAAGTCGCCATCATTATAAATAAACAATAATAATCAAAATCGTCACATAATTGATAATCACATGATCAATATCATTATTTTTTTTGACACATAATAAATAAATAATCTTTTTAAAAAAAAAGCTTTGGTAATAGTAATAGTAATAGTTACTAATCACGTTGCAACGAATTCACGTGATAATTGATAAAAAAAATACCAATACTAATACGTTAAATAAAAACGTACAATCTGTCATAATTATATTAATATAGACAAGAATTTTCATTGTTTAAAATTGTATGATTATTTCCATGTTGTAACAAATGTATGATTATTTTCTGAAATTCTAAAGGTATAAATACAAGTTTTGTTGTTTGGATTGTTGATTATTTTAAAAACAAAAAACGTCACAAGGACAACCATCATCATCTAAAAAGCGAAACTTTATTACTGCTGAGCAAAAAGAGAAATTTGCTTATTAAAAAGAAATAGACCCCAACCAAAAAAAATCGATTAGCAATACAATATTCAATTAGTCCAGGTCAAGTAAGTGACATATTAAAAAGAGTCCGGAATATGCATGTTGTCAAAATTAATTTGGCTTTGACTAATTCCAAAAACTCAATTTTTAATTGCGTCTGAATTATTTATATTTTTCATAACTCAATCAATTGCGTCAAAGATCACACATACTTTTGAAACCTATCACATGGAACTTTTGAATTCAAGCTCTATACAGTAGTTTGATGTTGAATATTAGGAACTTTATATATTTAAATAACTAATAATGTTGAATCCTCTAAATTTTGCCATCATCTTTCCTCTCTATCACTAACTACTAGGGAATGATTTTTTTTGCATGGTATTCTAAATTTTGTAATTTTGCTATAGCGATAATAATATATAGTAACAGTAGTAACTAGTACAATTTTAGAAACCATCTCCAGAAATTCAAGGTTTGGTTGGGTGATATTGTTACGAAATTTATTATTATTATACGCTGGACCGGCTGTCAGTCAAGTTTCGCTTCAACTCATCATGTTTCAAGGAATTATAATTAAATTCATTACAACGAATCTTTAAAATTTTGCTTCACACGTAAAATTCGAAACGCGATTAATAATTTTGGTATAACGAATTTTTGGACGCAATTTTCCTATGTATCTCCCCATAGATTCGTTGATCAAACACGATACCTTTACTCTCGCTCGTTCTCTTCCTTCTCACTCCAATTAATCATATTAACTGTTAAGAATTTAATCCGCAGAATTGACACGGCAAACTTTCAAATTTTTTTTTCGTTGAAAATTAATTTACTACGTACAAACCAGGGCTGGCAACGTAAAGGGATTAAAATCCTAATTGGCAATAATTGGTATTCACT